TGAAAGAATAGGGAACTGGACGATACTTGGCACGGATAGGAAAGTTTGGAAAACGGCGGAGGAGGGATTTACCCAACACGGGATCCATATCTAAAATTAAGAAACTAACAATTCCAACGCAAAAACTTGTACATACTTTTTAAAAGTCAATTACTAACAATACTAAAAAATACTATTTAAATCAATTGTAAAAATCTTAGATTTGGAAATAAAAAGGCTTTATTATTATTATAGTACATCTATACTAATTATAAAGATGAAAGTTTTGTATTTTTGTATGTATTGTAATACCTCAAAAACTTCTGCGTCGATTCCAAAAATTCTTTCATCAGTAATTAGCTACGTTATCATTCAGTAAGATAGAAATTCCATAATTTTAGAATAAAAGTACAGTTTCGCAATACATTTTACAAAGACCAATACGCACAAAGCCTTCAGGCGTCTTCAATGATTAAGAATTGAATTCTTGAATGACTTAAATTACAAATTCCATGAAAATTTTGTCGTCGTTTCAATATTCCGCCGTTCCTCTGCCAATAAATCTCCGGCTGCCGTCGTAATTTTCTCGGGCATTAAACTAATCAAGGGGCGGTATGAAAGTCTGGCAATTTCGGTACAGCCGCCTAATTTTATAACTTTATTACCTACATTTTGCAAAGCCTAGTCAGAACTAATTATGTTTATTAATTAATTTTCGAATAACATGTAATTCTAGTTTATTGATAGAAAATGTTAGTAGAATGAATAATTGTATACAACTATGTAATTTGTAAGAAATCTTGGGAATGACTTTGTTTGTAAAAGCTAATTTTAAATGTAAATATTTTCATTAAAGTGCTATAGGTTTTTTTGAGTCGAGAAAATGTCTCGCATTTCACTTATTGAATATTCAGTTCCTTTTCTTTCTTAATTCCAGTAACTAATCTATACTTGTAAACTTAAACTATTATAATAAAGCGTAAACACACACTTCTTTGTTGCCTAAGATGTCAGCAATTACAACATATTTTTGAATAATTATTTTTTTAACAAAAAGCCCTACACTTGCTTCTCGCTTTAGGCTATATATTTTAACAAAATTAAACTTAGGGGGTAAATATTTTGGATAAAAACCCTAATGTGGGAAAGAGACCATAAGTTGCTGCCAACATCAAGGAAGCAAGGTTGTCATCATGTCATGTCATTTTGACATTTGTCATTGATAATTACACAAATGTAAACAATAAAATAAAATTTTCATAATTTAATGCGGATGAAATCGCACGGGAACAGCTAGTAGTCAATAAAACTTATTTGTAAACATTTTTAGTGTGCTAAAATTTCAACATCACCAGCTTCTATTATTCAATTATTACTATGGCTTAATGAAACTATGGCCGCAACTGAAACGAATTCTAAACACTTCACTTGTGACTGACGTCAAAATTTAATGGAAATTAAAGTTTTAGCGCGGCCTTTTCATTCAAATTGCTGTTACATTTTATTATCTTTTCTGTATTCGGCTATTATTACTTTGAAAATCTAAGTTAATATCGAACTTCAAATAGGTATTTGATTATGAATTGAGCAACCCACATCTAAGAATCAATACGTTTTTTCATGTTAATGTCACCTTAAGAAAAAATAACGTCTAGACATCTATTAATATTCTCGATTAATTTTATTATCAGAAAACAAGAATACATTGCATCGAGTGGGCAAAGTTAATATTGGAAAAAAGGTGTGGGCTTCTGCTAAATAACGTCATACGTTCACGAACCAATACTGATACAATGTGACAGATTGTTTATGATAGATATACGGAAGATATACGCCAACGTATATACCGATTTATCTGACGGTGGATATGAGTGAAAGTTTAGTGCGACAAATAATTTGACCCGGTCAAAAGCTCTGTTATTGCTTCTTACTGAAAAAGATCATTTTCTTTCATTACTTTTTTATCAGCAAATATCGGTCCTTCGCAAGATGGGAATTTCATTTAGTTATATTTGAAAAGATAGTCTTGGCGGTATTTTTTGGTTGATATTTTATTTTTTCATTATTAAACATTAAGGCTACGCTTAAACTCCGAATCTCATCTTTCCAAACTTTTGTATGAAGTATTAAGGTTATTATTTTGAATCTTATTTTATAAAACGTTTTAAAAGCAATGTAGTTTAAAAGTCTTCACAAATTCCGTTAGTACTTTTTTATCTCTTGAGAGTTGTCGACTTCCTTTAATCTCAGCACTTAGGAGAGCCGAGCTACATTCATTTCCGTCGACGTTCGCTCGCCATTTCCTCCTAGAGCTGAAAGATAAAAAATAAAAAGTGAACAACGGCTTGACTTCAGGATGTACACTGACGATAAAATGTCACGCAAAATAATATCTAAAAGGTACACTTTGAGTCCTATATTAAGGGAAGCAATCTTTATCATGACTTTATATGATAGGACAAAAGATGGCCGAGATTTCATCCGCGCGAAATTAAAAGAAAAAAGTAACTAGCCAGTGTTCTTCCAGACTATGTTACGTCGAGCCCTTTTAACAAACATCGCAGATATCGCACAGAGTTGAGACACACTCTTCGAGAGATGACCAAGAAAATATGATGCGACTTAGGAATGTAGAAACGATGCAGAGAGAGTAACAAACACCCATCCGAACTTTCTCATTAATAGTAGTAACATTTTCAATACTATTTGATCTATTGTGAACTTTTTAATTATCTCTGGTCAAATTGCTAATGTAATATCGATGTATAAAGTCACCAGTTGCATTTATCAAACATGTATGCCAATTACAACGTTTATAACTTATCCAATCTGAACTATACGCGTTCACAGATAGATGACTTTAATTACTAAATAAAGCTGGGTGTACATCTGCGGGGACGATTACAAAAATGTGGCAATCACGCGGCCCAGTGGAGCGCGAGTAACGCGCGACCGTGTACCCCCGCCCTTATTCGACCTTCACCCGATATTGGAATATAGCATATGAATTATGTACAAATTTTTAGCTGAATACATGTAAGAGATACGGGTTAAAGAAATTTGTGCGTCAGAATCGTTAGCTATTTTGAGTGTAAGACAAAAGCACTCATATTGCTCCTAGCATAGGTTCCGCCAGGGTCACACTGCCTCTCGCCCTTCTAAAGACTCTAAAACTGTAAAACATATGTAAAAATAAATTGTACCACATTGATTGCTCATCGGATAAAGTTAAGAATGTGTACATTAGAGGAAGTTTGAAAGTAGCGCCAGTGGTAGAGAAATTGAGAAGCAAAAGGTTAGCGTGGTATGGACATATTATGCGACGAAATGATGGGGACATAAACCAGAAAGTGTTGAGATTGAATGTGGATGGCTACAAAGGAAGAGGAAGACCGAAGAAAGTATGGATGGATTGTGTGAAGGAAAATATGCTTAAGAAAGGAGTGGATTCAGATATGACGGCTGATAGAGATGTATGGAAGAGCAGCACATACTGTGCCGACCCTCCATAAGGGATAAGTGCAAGTGGATGATGATTGATTGCTCATCGGTTTGTCCCCTTCCCGCCTTGTTTAACGGTCTGTCCCTCTTCTCCCCTGACATTGGCCTGTAGCCCTTTCCCCCTGACCATCGACCGGCAACGCCTATGTTTTTAAAAGTGGTAAGCAGATTCCTGATGGATATAACTTCTATATCGATTTATAGCACTATCTTGATACTATGTTATATACCCCTGGCTTTTCTTTACGCCGGGGGTAGTTAATATGTTGTAATAGTTATTTTGAATAGACTTTTATGTACATTGACTTCTCATACTTTGTTCAAATCCTATTAGAAATTGCGGAAACACATCACTAATTTAAATAAAAAGAAAAACCTGTTTATATTGTACTTAGAAGTAAATGCAGTTGACCATACCAGTGGAAATGTAATTTAATTAAGACGTTTTATTTACTTGTCTCGTCTGTAAGTCCTCGAGGAATAGTTTTTAAAAGCCCTTGATTATTATTTCCTAAAGTCTATCTATAGTACTTAAACATGCTTGTTTTGGCAAACCCAATCGAGCTGAGTAATTTTTGTGGCCAAAATTCGTCGCACAAATTTACATTCGGGTCTTCGGACCCGAAAGTTTGAACAGATTTAGAGATAAGCGAGGCGGAATACATTGTACTGAATAATAAAAAAGGGCCGGAGATTTTATAAATCGAGTAAAGATAACTTTGATCGCCGAAAAAATAGCCGGAATAATCTAATTATCCGGGTTCTTCGGATAAAAAAGGATCAAGTTTTCGTGGTTTAATTTTGCGGCGTTGTACAGTTTTGTTATTAAATATTCTATTTTAGTTAAAGATATTTTAAAACTATTTACAATAAAAGTATAATGAATAGTTTTACAATTAATTTGTTGTACAAATTTCTAGTATAAATCACATGTTAACGTCGAAAGTGAGTAACGTTTCTTAATGTTAAGTCAACATACGTGGAAGGCGAACGTAGAATACGTATATGTGAATACAAAGAGTGAGGAAGATAAAGTTCGCTGATATGATTCAGTTTATGAGTCAATTGAAAGCGCAAACAACGCTACGGACGACAAATATTGATGTGGCGATGCCCTTTTCAGAATTTCATCACTCATTGTAGTTACACAAATAATGGTTTCGATAAACATAAATCTGAAAACAAATTCAAGTCGTAACATAGGTCATGAAACAAACCACTTAATTTACTGAAAAGAATCCCAACAAAAAATTGAAATCATAAAAAAATCATAGCCACTAACTCAATTTCAAGAAAGCTGTAAAAAAGATACCACACATAGTCAATGGCAAACGCTTTAGTATTCGAGGTTCAGTACAGCAGCGATTACGACACGTTGCTTGAATGTGGGTTGTTTTAATTCAAAACAATGGTCATGCCGGTCCTATAATCTGTGGCGCTTGGTCGAGGCATGCGCGGTCGTTCGGTCGATATACGGTGACGTCAGACTCCAAGAGCCTCAGTCAGGCACCGCCGGCCGGAGTGCGAACATGTGGTTGCAATGCTTGGCCGCCACGGTCCTCATTGCCAGCGTTTCCAGCGTCGCAAACCGCGAGGTCTTCACCAACTCCTTCCTGGTCCGCTTCAAGAGATCCCTGGACAGCGAGGAGGCGCATGACGTCGCTCGTAACCACGGCTTCGATAACTTAGGACCGGTGAGCGACCACGTGATACTTTAGTAAACATAAGCAACTAACCGCGCCATTCCGTATTTCATATCTCGATATTTATATCTCATTTTATGGCGGCACTACTGTGTCCAATCAGATGTTATCCTCCCACTGTACTGTGTGATTAACTTCCGGTATTACTAGCCACTGATAATCATGAAAGCGTGTACGGCTTCGATTTCATCGTCACTTTTAATGATGTTGATTGGTTTTTTCTTTCGCAATACATTTGCAAAGCAATTTGCAATTCAATAAAAATAAACTCTTCGTCAATTTAATTTGGAAGTTTTATAAAGAACTAATTTTATATTATTGCAAAGTAATGAAAATAATTTGTAAAGATTTTATTTTCAAGTTAAAACTCTATTATTTATAACCTTTACCACAGTTTTATGTTTCGGCTTAAAAAAAATGCTTTTTCCCGCTCTTAAAATTTTAAATGACCTGGTATTTTTAGTAGTTTTACTAATTACTGAATTGTTAAAAGCTTTTAGTACAAAGCAATTGCAGAATTAATTGCTTTTACAGATAAAAGAACTAAAGGCATTTTATAGCAATGGCTTTTATTTTAAGTGACGGTTAACTTAAATGTCAATTAACTTTTTCTTAATTTAAAGTTTTATGGTTCTATGAATGTAATGAAATGTTAAAATTGAATGTGGATGGCTAAAAAGGTGGAGGAAGACCGAAGAAAGTATGGACGGTGTTTACGCTTTATTATAATAGTATAGATTGAATCTTATGGACAATGCGATTTTGGAAAGTTTTCAGTATTGTTTCTATTTTCATAAATTTATATAACAAACTAAATAAACAATGGAATGTCGTTGTGCGGCACAATGAGGCCGTGGATTAAACGTAAGCCTTTATTTAATACTGCGCTTAACTGAATCGCTAGCTATACGTGTTTTCTTCGCGTTTTTTTGTTATTTATTACGCAAATATAGTTGACAGGGTTATTTTATTTAAGGGAAATTCAATTACTGGTATTAATTCTAAAATTTCAAAACCTCTGTCTACCCCTGTTTCTTATTTGCACAAACTAGATTAACATTATTGTTATCGGCGTAATCAAACCAGCTTAAATCTTCTTAGTCGCCTTTTACCTACGCGTTACGAATCCTAAATCTTAATTATAAATGCGTAAGTTTAGATTTAAATTGATGGATGTTTGTTTGAGTTTGTAGCCTAAACTGCTGAATGGATCTCGATGAAATTTGGCACAGATGTAGAACATAGTATTGAAGAACACATAGGCTACTTACTCATGTTGTTTTATTCTGATGGGAACAGAGTCTTGGACGAAAACTAGTGTTTAATAAAGGTTGGTTATACCTATCAATGCATTCGCTTCATGTCCGCGTTGTGTCGAACGTTTCGAAATAATCGTTAACATCGTTGTTCGCAAGATAACTCTACTTTATCCCTGACATTGATAACGATACAATTGGGTAGTTACGACGTGGAATGCGGGACGGTTCACTGTACTCGTTGTTTCGGCTTTCAATTTTACTAAGTAAAGTCAAATATTTTACTTTTTTCGTCCACACTGTCTTGATGCTTGATATTTTAAAAACTAAGATAAAAAAAAATTCCTCTCAGTACGCGCTTTCTAGCTTAAATCTATACTATTATAATAAAGCGTGAACACACGCTTCTTTGTTGCCTAAGATGTCGCAATTACAACAAATTTTTAAATAATTCTTTTTATAATACAAAGCCCTACACTTACGTCACGCTTTAGGCTATATATTTTCAAGCCATTAAACTTAGGGGGTTAATATTTTGGATAAAACCCTAATGTGGGAAAGAGACCATATGTTCCTGCCAACATCAAGAAAGCAAAATTGCCATGCTTTGTCATCACGTCATGTCTGTCATTTTGACATTTGCAATTATATTTGACAAACGTAATCAATAAAATAATTTTCATAATTTAATGCAAATAAAGTCGCATGGGAATAGCTAGTCATTTATACAATAGGACCTTGATAATTCAAAAACCTCTATAACTTCAATAAATAATATGTTCCCTTCCTATCAAAGTCTAAAACCTATATAACATAGACCCTTGATAACTTAAAACCTCTATAACTTAAAATATTTTGTGTTTCCTTTGGCCTTTAACGTATCGAGGTTCTACTGTAGTATAAATATTTTTTTTTTCTCATCTTATAAAAAAGAAAAATCTAACTCAGCGTTATAACCTAACCTAAAAACGGTTAAACTCGCGTCATATCATAATAATATTAAAAATGCGAAAGTTTAGATGGATTGATGTTTGTTAGAGTTTGTAGTCTAAACGGGTTACGATGAAATTTGGTTTAGATGTAGAAGATGTAGACTGAACTGAAAGAACACATACTAGGCTAGGCATAAACTACTCACTTTTGTTTTTTTTTATTCCACTCGAACGGAGTGACGGGCGAAATCTAGTTAGTTTATATAACTCTCTTCAATTCTTAAGTAACTTAACTGATTACAATTGAATAACCCAACTTTTCAATAAACAACTTCAAACATATTCTTGTTTATTTAGGTTTAGCGTAGTTAAATTTTCGCAAGCGTTTTACAAACAAGGAAAAGCTGGGACAACTTCGCTCAGCATTAATTTTACTAACTAATCTGCATACAAATGAAAGTGTTCGTAAAATATTTGTCTTTCGTACTTGTGTTTGAACAGTTAAGCTTCTGAAATTACTTCGTTTACATAGGATAATACAAGCATCATTGTTTTTAATGAAACAGTTCTGATCTTGCCTTCCAATACGTGCTATGTAAAACTTTAAAATTACATAGCTAAAACACGTTAAAGAAAAAAGGCGTTAAACCGACGTTAAGTTATGCGTGCAGTAAAGTACGTATACATAGTTTTCTGTAGTATAAGGCTCAGACTACCAACGTAAATCATAAGTTTTATAACATAGACGTTGTGAACAAGCGAAATTAACCCAAAAGCAACAACAAGCAGTCAAATTATAGATAAAATTAGGCATATTTGAAAGCAACCTATATATAATCTTTACCTGCTAAGAAAGATGAATGTTAATCTATGCATATTATCAACCTGCCCTTTTCCCTGTGAAAGTCACAGTATTACGCTTCCATACTTCTTTATCAGCAGCAATATTGCTTTGATCTCCGAGAAGTAGTAGTTGACGGTTTCTGTGGTGGTACATATAATACAGAAAGATTGTTATTTCATTTGACAACGGGACTTATTAGGATAGGTACACACCAAGCATGTAGCTTTGAATGCCCGTACAAAGTTCAAACATGAAGTGTTACATCGTTATCTCTGTAGAAAATTCCGATGTCCCACTCACACATTGACACGACTCTTATAGCTGTCGTCGTGACCTAAATCCGCACCCTAGAGTATACATACAAATATATACACATTCAAACATAAGTCTATACATGCTAATGATGAGAACTTCAATGATCATAGTACTTTGCAAAAAATATGTAAAAAGAATGTATCAACGACACGAACGTACAAACGACAGCCAAACTTAACCCCCGCAAATAGAGTTGAAATTGTATTCAACTACAATCACTAGAAATTATTAAATACATTAGGATATTGTTAATTATTGTATGTTTTCTTTAAAAAAATCTTTAAATTAATAAACAGTCTTTGTAAAAGAAAATACGTTTCAAAGCGAAGTTAAAGGCGTTGCTTATAAAATAAAAAACTTTTCGACTTACACAACAAAATACTTTCAGAGCAATTACTTGTTGGTAAACATTTTTTTAATTTTACCTCTAGAAAGAAAAATGGACTGTCTTTTTGAATAGCTCTTTTTTTTAGGTACTATAATCTGATTTTGCATTTATTTCAATTAAACGTCTCAGCATAGATTATACATTGTTGGCTGAATACATCGCGTTGAGTATTTCGTAGACATCCTGTTATTATATTCATTATGTTCAAATGCTACGCGTGACGTAGAGGCTCAGATGCCCACACTCTCCGTAATGTAGCCGCCTACAGTCTACGCATTCGGATTGCTGATACGTTTCTGTTAGTTTCCATTGTCCTAAAGCTTAAACCAAAACAGTCTTATCCCTTACATTGCCCTTAGACGTTAACAATAAAATTAATAATTTTTTTTATATAATATGTTTCATTTTTTTATATTTTTTAATAAAAAATCATGTAAAATATATTGTATATAAAAATAAGAAAATAAAGATATGAGAAATAAAAAATTAATAAAAAAAATAATAATAAATCTCTATTCAATCCGCGTAGATTCATGTAATGGGAAAATTTTAAATAACCGAACTTATTCGAGTAACCCTTATGTGGGACGAAAGATAAACAAAAATCAATTTTACCCGCAACCCTTTGAAATGATTCAGGACTATGTATCTTGTCCTTAACTTTCTCTTTCTTAAAAAACATTTTACTTTAGCTTATCCATATTTTCATAGAAATAAGTAATTATAGAGCGGGCATTCTGAAAATAAACTATAGCACAACTGTTATCTCGCATTAATTTCTATGAGCTTATGGAGGTGACTCGACTTTTAGTTGTGCAACTAAACAGTTGAATTGGCTGCAAAACAATCGACAATCGCAACAGTTTTGTGCTAGTTTAGTAAAAGGTGTGCTCCTCGAAATGTGAAGATAATGAGAGTTACAAAGGTGAGATAATTTTTCGTTTCAAATAATATCAATATTCTGAAAAGCATAAAACTCCATTCAATATTTATAACTTTTTCCATCATGTCTGTTGAAATCAGACAAAAGCCTCCTAACAGCTCCACTTTTTGTATTGAAAGGTCAAAGGCAATTTGTCGAATTACTTTTTATTGGTTGGATTCATTGAATTACAAAAGAAGTTTTAAAAATATATTTGTTTGGAATGAAAAAAAAATTGATATTAAATAAATATTACGCAGGATTAATATGTACGAGTCAGAAAGCAAAAACTAACGTTTTGCATTTGTTTATATTCATTTTACTTATTTTGTATTGAGTACCATAAAACTGTACTTAGTAAACGGAATTTTAAATGAAGAAGTATTTCTTTTAACAATCTGTGGTTCCTAAGATTAACGAATTTAAAAAATTCTTCGCAGTTATTTTCAGTTTTTTTAACAATTTTATATCTTGAAATGAATTGTTGTAACTTGCCTATCAAATGTTTGGCAAAACTTTTAAAGGCCAATTCTACCTTCGACATAAGGAAAATTTCAGAAGACGAAAGTGATAAAGTTCCAAGGATTATTGTCTGAATTTCATTAATAAACTCTCAAATTAAGCGAACGTCGTTAAAATGTTTTCTCTAGGAATGTTCTTTCATTAAATTTATTCAAACAAAAAAAGATATTTTGTCATTTTAAAGTTAATATTATACAAAATACGTGAACATCTCATCATCGTTATATAAATAAAAAAATTAAACCTTCTACTGTTACTTGTTTGTAAAATAAAAAGAAAATTAGTTTTTCTTTAACAAGCAACATAACACCCTTTAATTAAGACACGAGTCGTGTAACCTTATTTTGTCATGTCATTGGTAGAGAAAAGAAATAACATAGAATTTCGCTACGCCGTAGCGCGTAGCCAATTTTTGCTACATTAAAAAAATTTAATGAAAATCTATACTATTATAATGAAGCGTAAACACACTCTTCTTTGTCGCAGAAGATGTCAGCAATTACAGCATATTTTTGAACGATCCTTTTTTTAATAAAAAGCCCTACACTTACGTCACGATTTAAGCTATACGTTTTAACGCCATTAAACATAGGGGGTAAATATATTAGATAAAAATCCTAATGTGGGAAAGAGACCATAAGTTGCTGCCAACATCAAGGAAGCAAAGTTGTCATCATGTCATGTAGTTTTGACATTTGTAATTTGACAAATGTAAACAATAAAATAAAATTTTCATAATTTCATGCGGATGATGTCGCACGGGAACAGCTGTGTGATTCATGAATTTGTATAAATATCGTTTATTGCCCCTTTTTTATTTTATTGTTTATTAAATTAGTTTTCTATATACTTGTGCGTATATGTAAAAATCACAAAATCCGATTTATATATCAAGTCTGAAGAAAGTTACCGAATTCGTAATAATCTGAATCAATTATAATTATCAAAATTTCCGTGACTATTAATTATTGTTGTTTGAGAGGCCGGCACTTTTGTTAGCTATGAAGCACGTCCCCTCAGTAATTAAATTAAGCAAACTTTGATAGCTCTGAAGTTCATTTATTATCAGCGAGTAATAAAGGTCCCGGAACTTATTAGTGGAGTGGCCTTTATTACGTCATAATATTCTCAATATTATGACGTCACGTAATGTCGGCGTCCTCCAAATATTTGGACAAGATTATTGTCTCGTTATAATAATCTTCCGCTAACGGAAAACGAATGTATTGTCCTTATTACATAGTTCTTTTCACGGTCCATTTAACTACCCTCCTCTATTTTTCGGGCTAGATATTATTCCACGCGATATTCTAAGAAGCTATGCAAAGATTCCTTGAAATCCGTTCAGGATTCTAACGAATATCCGTACTTTTCTATCTGTCCATCCATCTAACAAACACCATACATTCGCATTTACAATATTAGTAAAAATTAAGATAAAGCAGTAATAAATGATGAGACCAACACGATTAAAGTTCTACAATCTTCGAAAGCTTTTCTCCAGCGTTAGTATAAATAACATATTATTTTAAACTTTAACTTACACTTTACCATATACTGTTAAGAAGAAAATCAGTACTGTGCTGTAGAATTGGCGCAACACTACATTATCGGCATAAAAGTCACGTCCCTAGCTGACAGCTGTCAATGTCATTAAAAGGATTGGATACTCGTGCGCATTCCTGACGAGTTCTCTAGTGGAGTGTTTAAATTAATATCGCTAGTTACAATTTTAATTGTTGAAAAATACTTAATTGTAAAGGTTTTTATATGTTTCTCGAAACCTTGATAAAAGTATGTCCCGAATAGAGAAAACATGGTGTGTTCCTACGAGATGAATGTTACAAAACTGGTTGAAATTCAGATACATTTGTATTTTTAATACCTCAAAATAAAGACTTTTTTTAATTAATTACGTTGATAGTTAAGATTTATAAGACATGCAATAAAACTAGAATTAACTTAGAAATTGTCATAGAAATATCGTAGCATTGTGCTACGTCTAGCTCGTAGCAGATTACATGTGTTACATTATATTATCTTCAAAACATTAAAATGACTATAATTTTATGATTTGCTTTCAGTTAAGTATTCGCGGCATCTTTCACACACTTGATGACTGAAGACTTGGCGCAAATAACAATAAACTTTATTACCTTGTAATAAAATTCAGAGTGGCTGTTACTTTAACAACCGATACGCAGCAAAATTGAAATGTTTTACGATTTATGTTTATAAAAGAATTTATTACTGCTTTAAAATACTCTTAAGATATGGTCACGTTGTACTAAGCCTTTGTTAATGATAACGATGTATAAACTTGCTAGATTTTTAAGTTAAAAAAAAAAAAACAAATAGAAAAGTGGACTCAAATTTTGAAAATCGCATTCGCCGCCATTACTTGAATTTGGTAATTTTATTAGAACACTTTTTATAAAGTGTTTATTAATTTTTTTCATCAATTGTTTTACTATTAAAGGAAGAGGAAGACCGAAGAAAGTATGGATGGATTGTGTGAAAGAGGATATTCTTAAAAAGGGCGTAACTATATATGACGATAGAAATGTGTGAAAAAGCACCACATACTGTGCCGACCCTCTGTAGAGACAAGGGGATGGGGATGTTCATTTGTTTTACTATTGTAAATGAAAAGTCTTCCAAAAGGATAATTGATTTATTATCTCATTTCACCAAAGTCCAAACAAATACAAACTACATACAGAAAAACCCTTGACCATAACGCGAACTTGCAAACAGAATTACACTCACTTAGCTTAATCCAATATAAGAGGCTATTACGGTACTGTTAAAGTCCATTGTCGTGTGAACAAACTTGACCCTCAATTCACGGTCACTCACTGAAGTAATCACTTCTGTACTTCACTCACGGCCACCACCATGACTTTGAATATAAAAATACTACTTTTCGTCTACGATTCCGTCCGCGTGGAATTAAAAAAAAGTGAGTAGCCTATATGTTCTTCCAGACTATCCTCTACATCTATACCAAATTACATCGAGATTCATTCAGCAGTTTGGGTTACAAACTCCATCCATCCATACATCTAAACTTTCGCATTTGTAATATTTATATTTACCACTTAAAATTTGTGTCAAACATTTAAAACGTGTGAAATAATATGGACGTGAAACGAAACAAACTAGAGGTAATTGTTATTGAAATATAGACTTACTGGTTTTTTTTATTAAATAACCAATAAAATGACTCTGAGTGTATCAGTAAATCAATTAACAGAAGAAATGTACTTTTACGTAAACTTTACCAGATAAGTTAGCTAACATTGACGCTACGTAGATTGATCCAATTAAGTAGTAAACAATTCAGACAAGTTAAGTTGTTTCTTAGTAAATAATATATTTAGTAAAAATCAACCATAAATGCAGCCATTTCGAAATTCTATACATAACAAACAATGTAATAAGACTAGAATCAATCGTTCTAGAAACACATAAAATGAGAATATGTTATATGTTCGTTTATTTTGCGGCAACTTTAGTGGACAGATTTTATTGCGATTTATAAAGATATATACAAAGAAAAACAAATACATCTAAGTACATTGGCAATATTTACATACTATTACATTCCAATTTCGTATTTGTTTGTCGTATTTATTTTAGCTTATTGATACAGAGAACACTATTAACATTGTTTGTATAGTAAAAGTGATATTTTTGTTGACTATGATAGTAAGTTTTATTTCGAATTGACTTTTATAAATTCTCCGGTTCAAATTCAAAAGTGTCAAGCCGTCTTTCCTGACAATGAATAATTTAAAGATATGTTATCTATCTACACTTTTATAATAAAGCATAAACACACACTTCTTTGTTGCCTAAGATGTCAGCAATTACAGCATATTTGTGAACAATCTTTTTTTTTAATAAAAAGCCCTGCAATTACGTCATGTTTTAAGCTATATATTTTCGCGCCACTAAACTTAGGGGGTAAATATTTTGGATAAAAACCCTAATGTGGGAAAGAGACCAAGTTGCTGCTAACATCAAGGAAGCAAGTTTTGTCAGGTCGTGTCATTTTGACATTTGCTATTGATAATTTGACAAATGTAAACAATAAAATATTTTTTTCATAATTTCATGCGGGTGAAGTCGCACGGGAACAGCTACTACTAGATATATGCATAAAGTAAATTCGATCCATGAGCCACTATCATGATATCTAAAGTCACCTCTTGCGAAGGACGTTTTATCTGTAGCTCAATCATCCATAACAAAATACTAAGTTATTTGTAATAGGAACATCTGTTTCAGAGCGAGTATAACTTTGACTAATTTAACGCAGTTTAATCGCACTTTGATTCCTATGAGCTTATATGGTGTGCACACTTGATTTTTAGTTGTGCAACTAAAAAGTTGAATTGGCTGCGAAACAATCGACAATCGTGCAACAGTTGTGCAATAGTTCAGTCACAGGTGGGAGCCCGCTTTTAAAATGTGTAATTAAGCTCTCAAATGTGCAGGTGCTGGGATCGGATACGGAGTGGCATTTCACCCACCGCGGCCTGCCGCATGCTCGGCCGCGTCGCTCCATCGCTCACGCACGTCTACTGAAGCAACATCCTTTGGTAAATCCATTCTTACTTAATTATTATTAATAGTATCTACCTTACATAACTTTCGCATAAATGAAACCGTCGTAAGATTATGCCTCATTAAAGAGATTTAGACTACTGCGCTCGGCTACTTTAAGTCCGATAAACCTGTAAATGGCAAGGCAGACAAGTGGCCCTCATTGGACCCACTAGGGATGGGTAACTGACCCATAGCTTATAGTTTTTATATGAAAATTGTGATTGTGTAAACACTGATCATGACAGAATGAAACTATTGTTCCAGTGATGTGACGAATGAAACACTAACAAAAATTTTAAGAATCCACGGTGATAAAACTGTAATAATAAATAAAATTCCACATTACAAATTAAATAATACAGAGCTTTACCAATTTTTTACTTTCATTCTAAATATTTATTAATTTACTTGTCATTGCCAGATCAATTTCAACGTAATAAATCGATTTGTAAAATTGCTTCATTCGAGTACCCAATCAAATAATCAAATACGTGATTGATTGGTTCGCGAGGATTTCTGAGAAATTTTCGATAGAAAATTGCGTCAACAAAATTAACATACTCTCAAAGATATTGAATTTCATCAATCATTTTGAAATGTATACGAGACACTTCGTTAAACTTATTTTACTGGTTATGATAATAGCTTAACTTTAAAAAATAATAAGTATCGTTTGCAAAAAAAAAATAATAAAAAGCTACAAATAACTGGCGTGGCATAACTAAATAAAATAAAAAGAAACACAATATACCTATAATGGATTTTTGTATGAATCAAAATAACTCAAAAACTACTGGGCCAATTTCTAAAATTCTATCACCATTAAAAATTACGTTATCTGTAAGTAACATAGGCTATGTCTTTTATATTCAAATTTACGGGGTCAAAGTCGCGAGCAACAGCTAGTCACAAATAAATGTGCATTCATTCCCTTGTTTATTTTTAATTTGGGCGTATTAGTGGAATGTGTGAAAGGTTATATAATATCATCATTGTTCATCATATTTGTTCATTATTCCCATTACCAGGTGCATACAGCAGTACAACAAACAGGTTTCAAGCGAGTAAAGCGCGGTTTCCGTCTACTGAGAGTTCCGGAACCGCTTCCAGCAGCTGAGCCTCGCGACCCTTACTTCCCCTTACAATGGTACCTCAAAAACACCGGACAGAACGGCGGCAAGCCCAAGCTTGATCTGAATGTAGAGGCGGCTTGGGCACAGGGGTATACTGGGGTAAATGTAACCACCGCCATCATGGATGATGGTAAGCAACATTGAACTATGTAAATAATTAAATCTATAAATAATCGTATATAAGAGATTAGCGAAATACAAGTAACCTAAAGTTAATAAAAGATATGTAATCTATACTATTAATAATATAAATCAATCTTTTTAGTATTTTAAATGCGAAATATTTGGATGGATATTTGTTATAGTTTATAGCCTAAACTGCTGAACGGAATTCAATGAAATTTGACATAGATGTATAGTAGTCTTGAAGAATACATAGTCTTATTCACTTAAATTTTTTTTAATTCCGCGCGGACGGAGTTGCGTGCGAAAACTAGTTTGTCTAATTTGTATTACATATCATAATATTATGTTTATGTTTCTTTTAGGTGTGGATTACATGCATCCAGATTTAAAATACAACTATGTGAGTATTTTTTTTTATACAACTTTATTCTCCGCTTTGGTTAAATAAAAAAAAATAAAAAGCCAGCTATACCGCACGATAACGAGTCCACATTATGCTGATGTTGAACTTTAAATTAAAATGCTTTATTCATGACCAACGAGCTTTACTAAAGCAGAAAGCTCTCTGAATCTCGGGGAAAAAGGTCTGTTAATGAAAGGTAAATACTATGAGATTAGATGGCTTCGCATTTTTGATGATAAATAATTCGTTTTGAGTTTATTCAACGAATTTCCCTAAAAAGGTTAATTAACCTTCCCTAATAAGAAGTATTCAATCATTTTAGTTAAGTTATAAAAACTTTGATACATCGCCTTGATCTAATTTAAACTATACTAATATTTTAAACTATAATAACTCAAAAACTACTGGCACAAATTCAATAATTATTTTACCATTAAAAAGCTATGTTATCAGTGAGTAAAATAGGCTTTAGATATTTATTATTTTTTGATTCCACTCAGGCGAAGTCGCTAGCAACAATATTATTATAAAATCTGGAATATTTTTGCAAGACGTAGTAAATGTATATTAACAGTCATCTATAAATTACATCTTTATTTTAGTCAATTTTTGTGATAGTGTTCTTGCTACTGAAAAAAGGTAGTAAGTAAAATCTCTATAACGGTATGAGAGCGGTTATCTAAACTGTACACTGTTGTTTAGCGCTAGAAGTGCACTTTTGCGGCATGTCTGTCGAGATTTTCATTACAGTTATTCCCTATATTACGTAGGGACGCAACTTTGTTATTAAAAGTACATTTTATGCTCTTCTAAAGTATCTTTTTAAATTTAAAAATCGAATATTAGTCTATCCGTTCCATTGTTAACTTACCCTAAAAAGTTTACATGAGTTCGATTCGTATTAATCTGGACTATTATCGTGGGTCAATCGAACTTGGTGAACACTAAAACATATCGATGCCTGCACATATCGGCAAAGAAATTCAAAGATATGTGTTAAGTCAACCTGCATTATGCCAGCATGTTTATGGGCTAGTCACCATAACTCAAGGTAGACTTCGATTATTCCCAACCGTCACCCCGCTCTGTCCTCATGTGAGAATAAAAAGTTTCATCCATCCCACTATCACCGGTAAGGTGACAGATGGAAGCATTATAAAATAAAGTAAGTTCCAACCGTCCTCTCGTCGCAAAGGTGGGACGAATTAAACTTTTTATTCTCAACTGTCTCCATGTAGGAACAGAGCCTGGTGACGGTTGGAAATAATCTGGTTCCGATCCTTAGTGAGGACGTAAAGTGAGCGGGTGATGATTATAAGAGTATTATCCAGCTTTTAAAGACTGATTTTATTTCAGAACGCAGAAGCGTCATATGACTTCAGTAGCAACGACCCATACCCCTACCCGCGGTATACTGATGACTGGTTCAACAGGTGAGCTTATAACCGCAATCAATGTCCGCTTGCTTTTTAATTATAACTCGCGTTAACAGACAACGGTGCTGTTCAATCAGTCTTTATTAAGCAATTTACACGTTCGAAAATTTGATTGCTTATAATTGCTTTTGTTTCTTCTTAATAAAAGGTTTTTGTTGTCACTTGTTTATGATTTCACTATCAACAGTCTGTTGTTTTTTATTTAAAAACTATGTTAGTTTAATTTTATATTTTAGTGAATCAACTATTAATTATTGTTAGCAATGTAATATTGATTGTTGTCAAATTAATCTCAAGTTTAAAAACATGCACAATTTAATTAAGGAAAATTATAAAGTACACCTTCTTTTTGGCATCATTTTGTACATCAGCAGAGTAATATTTCATTTCTAAATTTGAAGTGTATCATGTAAAATTTACGAGTTTATTTCGTAGAGATATTTCTGCCAGCTACGTATCTTGAGTGCCTCAAAAGGTGGAGTAAAAAGATTTATACATTCCATTCATATTTCACAAAGAACTCGAGATGTATTTCAATGCCTTTAAATCTTATAAATAATATTCATACTGTGAATGCATATTTACGTCTCAAAGGTGGAAAATACAGTGAAGGTTTGATGCAAAGATAAATTAAAAGGAGCTTTCTATCTGTTGTTAGAATTGAAGTTTAATCATGTATTAGTTTAACGCGTGATACTAGGATTTCATCTTCGGATAATACACAAAAGAATAATTATAAGAATGTATACCAAACCTACATACTCGTATTATGAATCTACATATATATCGAAGCTCCAATAGCCTAATTGGTTTGGGGTAAGGACTACCGATCTTGCGGTCGAAGGTTCGAATCCCGCCATTCGACTATACTCGTGAACCATATCCTAGCACAAGCCTAGAGCTTAGTGTTGGTTGAAGAAAAAGAAAGAAGTAGTGAACGGTTAAAGAAAATATTAGTTAATTAACAAAAATCTACTAATAATTTTATATAGAAAAATATACCTAAATTTAAAATTATATACGTTTATATATCTTTAATACCCTAACCACAATACCCTGCCATTTGTAAAATAAATTAAAATGATTCCCAACTTATCTCAATAAGTCCGTCTTAAATCCAGACTTTTCTTAAAGGGCTTTGTGTGTGTTTCGAGAGATTTAACGATAGTCAAACTTAGAAGTGAAATAAGAACCTTTTGCCTTTTGTAGCTTAGTGGTTTAAGCAAGAGCGTCGGTGACTCAGTGGTTTACTTGTAATCTACAGGTCTTGGGTTCGAATCCCGTCATGTACCATTATGTCATAATTTACCTGACGTTCCGACGGCGATAGAAAGCGTGGTTGATTATGGTCTAGTCACCCTAACTTAGGGTGACTCTAAGCCCCTCGGTGGGGACTTGACGATGATGACTTAGTATTCAGAAATGAGTTATTGGTGCCTTCAAGTCATACATGAGTCGATGTATCAAGGTAGAAAAAAGTGCATATGCTTATTTATTTATGTATTCTGTGTTCAGCCACGGTACACGATGCGCTGGGGAGGTGGCAGCAGCGCGTGATAATGGTGTTTGCGGGGTAGGCGTCGCTTATCATTCCAAAGTTGCCGGTAAGTATATTTGTACCTGTGTGGAACGAACAGAAGTATTTTTGTAAAGTAGTCATTTAATTCCGAGGCGTGAAACTACAGTTTTTTCTGTTAACTATCAGGATAATGAGAGTATTCTTTTTGCGAATGTTTTTTTTGTACATTGCTTTCTTCTGTCGACTAAATCGCTTGAAAGATTTTCTTGAGTGAGATATTCGATTCTTTAAGTTTCTTGATGTCGATGGTACATAAACAAGGAGGTACAGTGATTTATGACGTCATGAAGTATGATTCATTGTCACGATCAACCTTAGCCGTGGACCGTGGACCAACTCTTTTATTTATTACTGTCCATTTGTTTAGGTATCCGTATGTTAGACCAGCCGTACATGACGGACCTGATAGAGGCCAACTCTATGGGGCACGAGCCCCATAAGATCCACATCTATAGCGCGTCCTGGGGGCCGACTGACGACGGCAGAACTGTTGATGGACCGAGGAACGCGACTATGAGGGCTATCGTGCGTGGAGTCAATGAGGTAAGTACATTTTTAACTGGACTTTTGCAAATGAACTAATTGTCTTCTTAAGAGCGGGCGCACACATTTGACTAAACTTTCGCACAACTGTTAATTGTTTACGTTTATTTTGGAATCTAAAAATAAAACTTATTACTGGTTTTATCTTTTCTTTAGCCAAGGGGGTATTTTATTGAATTTTTTTTGCAATTGAAATGGGAGTAAAAAGATAAATGTTCAAAGTTTGTTTTACTCAGTCACGTAGGAAGAAACTACGAACTAGTGTTTGCTCGAGTAAATTAAACGTCACACTGGTAGGATCTATTGAGTGGTTTCTCTCTAATTGAAAACTAGTGGAGAATTTCCATAGTAATAACACTATCCTTTTTTACCTTTTAATAATGTTTTAATTAATACGATAATGTGTTTTGAAAGCAAAATTGTTCGTATATTCTAAAAGCCTAAAGCTTGATTACCACAAAGTTGGCTAAATATTTAAACTGTAACATGAAACAATGTTTATGTCCATGGATGAATAATTTAGGCAACCGCAGCCCATGTTATGTAGCGTATTCTGTGTTCGGAATATAACAATGTTCGTTGTTTAGGCTTTTATACGTGAAAATGTTTCTATTTTAGTACGAACAATAGGGTCCATTCAGTGTCTATATTTTAGATAATATTTTATTCTAGAATTTAGATGTAAATATGGCAACAATAAATCATAATGTTGCCATTGTTTTATTACATTTTACTTGTAGACGTCAAAGGAAAATTATATCTTGTGGACAATGTTTAGTTATTTTACCCACATATTTTGGTAGTTTTATGTATTGTGTATCTTTCATTTCTCAACCAACAAGGGTGGACAGACTAACAAATGCATTTAACACTAAAGTAATACACCATACATCATCATCATCATCCTACTCCCATAGGGTGGGCACAACAGGTTTTTGTCCTCCAAATAACTCTATCATACGTCATCTCAGTCATCACTCCCTTTTTGATCATGTCACCTTTCACGCAATCCATCTCTACCGGTCTACCTCTACCAATGTACCCTTCCACACTCATAACTAACGTTCTCCTTGTAACATGTTATTTATCCCTCCTCATAACATGCCCATACCATGCTAACCTTTTACTCCTTACCAAAGTAATACTATTATGGTGTATTACTTGTATAAAGTAATACACCATACATACTCTAACTATATCTGAATGATCGTTAATTTTCAATTGCGTGTTTAAATAAATAGTTATTTATAATATAATCGAAGATATAACAGTTCATAAATATTCGTTACGTATTTGAAATACAACACCTTTCCGCTTTCCTTTTATGAAACAATATATCTCGATAAAGGATAACCTTCGTTTATATTCTCTCTGAGAAAAGCTCACGGAGTCTTGTAAGATATTCAATACGATCCTCTGATTCTCTGTGATGTTCACAAAGTGCTTTATAACACGTAAATGTTTGTAGAAAAACAATACATTTCAATTGAATTTGATAAAAAGACACGTACGGACGTATAGTTAAACGAATCTCAAACACTTTTCTTCGTAAGCACTTACAATCTGAACTATCTCATTATTTTAGTAGTATTCGTAGTTTAACCGTAATCTTATAATTTAAGACGATGTACATGTTTAAATGTCGTGCCAATAATCGACTGTTGTGCCCGAAACAGGCTCAGTTCTAACTGCAGTGCGTGTATAGGGAACACTAACAAACCTTACAAATACATGCGGTATTACTTAGGAATAAACTGAGTATAAGCAAAATTTGTAGTAATATTTGCTTACACTCAGTGTATTCCTAAGCTTAACTTTAATTCGCGTTTATTTGTAATGCTGTTGTATAATTCAACTGACAATTAAAACGCATATTAAAGTGGAGAAGTAGGCATTAAGACCAGGTTATAAATAACGTCACTGAATTAGCCTGACATCTTTCGTTATTAGGGTCGTAATGGATTAGGCAACATCTACGTGTGGGCGAGCGGCGACGGCGGAGAGGACGACGACTGCAACTGCGATGGTTACGCGGCCTCTATGTGGACTGTATCTATAAACAGGTAAAACATAAAAAAACCCTACTTAGCGCAAAGGCACTAGGAAAAATTAATTCAACTTTGATGACCCTAAATTATATATTATAATTTGAGTCATTGATACAAAATCGAACTGGAACAAGGTAAATGTCCCAGTAATTGACACTACAGTATATTAATCGAACCATTTAATTTAGTGCCATAAACGACGGACAGAACGCGCATTACGACGAGTCCTGTTCATCAACACTGGCTAGTACGTTCAGCAATGGCGCTCGGGACCCCAGCACGGGGGTAGCGACCACAGACTTGTACGGAAAGTGCACCGCTACGCACTCTGGGACATCAGCCGCCGCGCCTGAAGCTGCAGGAGTATTCGCACTCGCACTACATGCTAAGTAAATAAAACAATTGTTACATGTTATTAATTGAAAAAAATCATAGTTCTCGTTAATTAAAAAAACTATGATATCATAAATCTTTCATATTTATTTCTTACCGTTTTTCTTAGAAGTTATATTAATAGAACTAAGGCAATTTAATACCGGCTTTTGTTTCAGTCCTAGTCTAACGTGGCGTGACATTCAGCATTTAACGGTGCTTACATCAAAGAGAAATTCATTGTATGACGCAAAGGTAATAAACGTAATAGCTTTTAAAGCATCAATTGTGCCTCTATTGTTATTTAACGTGAAACCTTGTCTATATGTCATTTATTACATCAAGTTAATTACGTCGATTCTTAATAGACTTCAATCAAAACATACAAGCGATCGAATTTGGGATTGGGTTATTAGGTAAAACAACTTTGTTAAACGTTCTGTTTTTCATTACTCGAATGTACAGACCAAATCATCTGACAGTAAATTAAAAATGTTTCCCTCATCTTTTATATTTTAGCGATTGTTGTAGGGACGTTTCCACTGGACAATGAATGGCGTCGGACTCGAGTTCAACCATCTGTTTGGTTTCGGCGTGCTGGACGCGGGCGCTATGACTGCGCTCGCGGCCAACTGGCGGTCTGTACCGCCGAGGTATCACTGTGAGGCTGGCTCCGTTAATACTCACACGTGAGTACATACCTTAAAGAGATTAGATAGTTAAAGTTTAAGTTTTTTAAAGTCGACAGGAGAGAGGATTGTTATCTATATCTATAATAATGAAAACCTTAGGCCACGGTCGTTTTGTATCACTTTGTTTAATTTAGATGTATTTGAGGATTGAACGAATTTGAAACTTCCAATTTCTTTTGTCCTAACTGAACTTTTGGTATAAATATGTACGGTTGTTATAAAAGTGTGATCCCACAGTGAGATCCCACAAGACGGCAGCGTCACGCTGCGCATAGAGACGGCGGCGTGCGCGGGAAGCGGCAGCGAGGTGCGGTACCTGGAACACGTGCAGGCGGTGGTCAGCGCCAACGCAAGCCGTCGCGGCGATCTCGAGTTCTTCCTTACCAGTCCTATGGGCACCAGGTACTTATACCATGGGTATAAACGCTCTTTATCTTGTGTTCTGTGTGTTCTTTGTAGTGTGTAAAACGTTAACTGAAGTAAATATCGTCATGTCGGCTTTGTTATCCAGGTCAATGATTCTGAGTAGGCGCTCCAACGATGATGATTCCAGGGACGGCTTTACCAAGTGGCCTTTTATGACAACGCACACTTGGGGTGAATACCCACAAGGAACTTGGACTTTGGAGGTAATATATCCAGCACATCGTAATAATAAATATGGAGGCCAGTTCAACTATGTATATTCAATTACTCCATATGTTTATATTTGCAGCATAACTATGTTCCGTTTACATATGTGAGAAATGTGTATGCTATTTCGTAGGCGAGGTTCAACGGTGGTTCAGGACCGAGTTCAGCGTCAGGCTGGCTGCGAGGTTGGTCGCTAGTGTTGCACGGCACGCGGGCGCCGCCCTACGCTCAGCTGCAACCTGATGATCCTAACTCCAAGCTGGCCGTAGTGAAGAAAGCTCACGAGGACAACGCCTCTAGCAAATAGATCTTACGACTTGTTTGTTATTGGATTTATTTGTTCAGCACGAAAGTGTAGGATTGATGAATCTAATTGCAAGAAAGTAAAGCTCTTTGCAGTAATAATTGATAGGGAACTAGAAGCTAGTTATTCTGACCATTGATAAAATTTCAAATGTTAACACATTATTACATTATAATCATATACATACTTTAATATCATTTTGCGGTGACTCTTTGCCAACAGATGGCCATAGGGTTGTAGGGCGGTTTGGTGAGCTGTGTTCTGCGACACGGGACTCAATCAATTACTTTATATTGGTAATTGTTTCTTTGCAATACATAAACAAAGCCAATTAGATCTCGACTTTCATAATTACTTCAACAATCATAAGAAAACAGACATGTTAAAGTTCTTTAAAATTTAATTGTTTTGAAAAAGTTAAAAAAAAACCTATTATGAAATGATATAACTCGTTTCTAGTTCCTTTTAAAAAATGCTATACCTACTGTCATAGTTTATCTTCTTCTATTGCTAAATATCTCATATTCCGAACAAAGTAAGGTTATTAAGTTTGTTATTTTTAATTGGTTATAACGCAAAAACTATAGATTATTTTGAATACTTCTGTAAAACTTTGAAGTGTTACAAACGATTTATTTAAGGAATTTAAAACTCAATATTTTGCTTAGGCTAGTTTTCTAAAAAGCTTCGCGCAAATATAGAATATGATTAGAAAATTATTCTTATACTCTTGGTTTTATTTAAAAATTTAATTCTACGTTATTGTTACTGAAAACTTTACATTATTTTGTAGATTTTCTCGTGTATTTGAGTACGTTTTAATTATTTCATCAACTGTTTTATAGTAAAGTTTTAAAATGATCAGTTTCTTAGATTACATGTTTTCGATATCTCAAAAACATGTTGTGTTTAAATATTTTTTCTTACATTTAATTTGTATTTATTTAATTGTAAGTCAACACATTCCAAAGAAATCTAGTCTGTTTTTAAAAGGAATAAAATCCATTTTAATGTTACACAAATTATAGGTTTTCTTAAATTTTGTTCATCTTCACTCGAAATATTAAATATTCGTACAGAAACATATCATGTCAGAGCACCATAATCGAGAGAACCAATAATTGCCTACGTTTAGTATCGTAGAATATTAAGAAGTTGAGCAAGATTTATAAGTAGATTTTTTAACGTTTTTAATTTTATATTTTAACATATTTAAACTCAAATAAACTTGCAAAATATTCATAAATAATAATGTAATGATTATGAAAATGTTTTGACTATTTCTTATATTTTTAATTAATTTATATTACTGTTACAATGCTTTTGTATAGTTTCTTATCTGATCATATTTATTATATTTTTTTAAATCAAACGAACTTAATTAACCCAGCAGTATTAAGTCCGTTTGATAAAATAAATAAAAAAACTTAACGTATTAATGAGTTAAAAAGAATATTAATAAAAAACATATTGCTAATTGTATTAAATGTCTAAAAAGTATTGTAATCAGTTTTTGATGTATTAAAAATTACCGATACTATTTTCTTAAAATGGGATTTCATTATATTTTGAAGTGTAAGTGTATATCACTTTGACAATTTTAAAAACCGCATGTCCTTATTATGGGAAATTTATTTTTGGGCATTACATACGATTACTACATATAGAATAATTGTTAAGAACATAAATTCATATATTAAAAGAGTAAAAAAAACTATTATGTATTATTATAGAAAATATAATGTGATTTGATGTTGTATTTGAATTAAACGATGTTTTTATATTTTATATTCCTACCCTGAATACATATTACATAAGATAGTAAAAGATTCATATTGTCAATACTCAAAAATATAGAATTTTATATAAAAATTGTTCAATAAACCAATATTTTTTTGAAAAAGTCGATTGAATTTAGAAAATTCCGTAGATTGTTTTATAATAAATTAATCCCGAAACATTTTTTATACATACACTAAAAAGAAAAATCGCTGAAGTATAAAAAGTTGGAGTTTAAGTAAACAAACTATTATACTTCAATAACTAATACTTACCTTGATGCCTCGTTCCCTTACAGGATCATTCTTTCAAACGCCAGTCGAGCCATTTAAAAAGGTCTTAACACACACAATCGATGCTACCATAACGCAATGCGTGTTGCGATAATCCTTAGAATAACATTTATGCATGGTTTATTTTATCTGTCCTGGCAATAGATTGTTTTGGCTGACTAACGTCTACATAAACCCAGTGCTAATTTTGAGGGCTACTATTCAACCTACTTCGCACAAACGGCTTCCCCACATTTGTGTTAAAGAAGAGATAAGTAACGAAATAAGATACGAAGTCTTATAAATAACAAAACGGGATGAATTATTTAAATCCATTAAGTCAATAAAAAATCACACGAAGCAATAATGTTAAATGTTAAGGCTGAAGAGTATCTTTTTACAAAAATATATAAATGCAGTACTCGTAATTTAACATGTCTTACGACCTTTTTAGAACCATTCGTGTGGAGTCGTTGAATGTGACCTTGGAAAAGCGTGATAAATTTAACGGCCAAATTACACTCACCTCTTTTTATTAAAAAATGAAAGAATTTAAAAATTGTTCACGCTCTTAATAAATACTGAAGCAATTTAACTGTTAACAACTTTTTACCTTCAATATACCTGAGGTATTTTAAATAAAATAAGGTATTATAATAAATTAAGATACTTTGCCTGAATGGTTGATTAATTACCTGACCTTAAACTGTGTGTAAAAAAAGTTTCTACTAGCATCGTAAGAAAAGTGAGCAAAATTACTCTTTACTGACACTATCAATTACTGGTACACTTACCTAGATAGAGAATTAAGTATGATGTATGTTCTTAATTTGCCTACTTTTTTTAATTGACGAGCACATAAACACAATAAAACAGACATCTAGAATGTAAATATTCTCAAAATACAATAAAACAGTCTAGCATTTACATTCTCTTAAAACTCAAGTCGAGCTAATAAAACTCATTTGTATGTAAATGTCCATTTAAAATGCTAATTTGAATTCAATTGAAATGGAAAACTAATACTGTCAGTGTACGAAGTCTGCTTTTGAATTTAATGATGTTTTTAAAAGATTAATTAAATTCAACCATATAAATTGATTGCTACACAAAATTATATGCTGTTGCTCGCGATTTCACCTCTGTTATTCACAGATAAATTATCTTTTTAACAGTGAAAGAATTTAAAAAATCGGCCCAGAAGTTTTTGAGTTATTTCTTTTATAAAATACAAATCTTTCCTCTTTACAATATTACTAGCCGTTGCTCGCGACTTCATCTGAGTGAATTTGGAAAATATAAAAAAATAGAGCCTACGTTACTTACTGATAACACTGACAGCTACGTTATCAGTGAGTAACATAGGCTATATTTTTACTATTTAGTGTTTAAATAATATAATATAAAGTGAAGTCGCGAACAACAGGTAGTATTACATAACATATCATACGTATATGTACAAATTAATATAACCAACATCTTAACTCTTGACCTTGACATGTCTTCGCACATAAATTGTAATAAAAGCCATATTACTTTCCCTTACTATTTCACTGTGCTCTAGATATGTCGGCTACTATTATTAACACATTACTGTAAATGACGCAATCTCTATTCACGCCATGATATATTTAAGATTTGCTAGATAAAACCATTTAATTTGTATTGAAATAACTCAAAAATTACAGGGCCGATTTTAAAAATTCTTTCACCGTTAAAAAGGTAATTTATCTGTAACATAGGCTATATATTTTTAATTTCACGCGGGCGAAGTTCAGAGCAACAGCTAGTAATAGATATTGTTGAGCTCTTGTTTTACAATGTAACCAGTATGAGAAGGGATGTCCATCAGTATGACACTTTTATAAACTATTTCGTATTTATTTACAATAAAAAATAAAAATCAAGCCTCACAGGACCTTCGTCAGGCCCGTATAAAGTGTTTTCAGACGAGTGACACTTGAGCGACGTCGCCGCCCTCTGGAGATGTCACGGAATCCATTACCGAGCTATTTCAGACGTTCTAGGAATACTTATTAGTATTGGTTAGGATTCCTTATGACGAATGTGCGTACATATTACACGCTTGACGTATATCTAGCTATATATTAGTTGTAATTTAATCTTGTTGCTTCACTGGCAAATTAACGATTTAATCAACTAAGTTTGGAACTTCGAAGAAATTTAAGAGGTTATATCGAAATTTGGAATATCATCTGATGAACTGAAATATTTAAGCTCTTAAGGACTTGTAACTGGTGAAGATAATAAATCTTTAGACAACAGTTAATGAGATTGTATTAACTGAATTACTTACCTAAGAAATAAAGCAATTATAACCTGACTGAGACGACTGAGAGCGTCTGTGACTCAAGTGTTGGCACTTGACATGTAATTTACAGGTCTTAGGTTCGAACCCGATGTACCAATGTGATTTTGTTTTTATCGTATTTTATATGTATATAATTTACTCGACGTTTTTACAGTGAAGAAAAACATCGTGATGCCTGCACATATCGGCGAAGAAATTCAAAGATATGTGTGAAGTCAACCAACCTGCACTATGCCGGCGTGGTTGACTATGGCCTAGTCCCCTTCACCTTAGAGTAGGCTCCAAGCCCCTATCTATCGCGGACAGGGCTGGCTAGGTCGCGGAAGATTGCGCGACTGTTCTCGTGACCCAGCCATCGGCGGACAGGAGAAACACCGCTGGGTTTTTAGTGAGTATTCCGGCCACGTCTGTTCTTTTGGCCGGCGAGTCCCACATACTTATTATTTCGTACCAGCTTATCAGAGAAACACTTATAATTTAATGACGCCTATCGATGTAATAAAGACGAATTAATACACGAGTCGAATCTCAAATTCATACATACAACGATCGTAAATCGAATATCAAATCAAACGAAATAATGTCAAGTATTCGTAGCAATGTTGAGGAAAAAGTTAACACGGACTTTCCTTTTATTTACATGCGTTTCTTTTTCACAAAGCAACAATACTATGGAACCTTATGTTGTTGGGGGTGATTTTACAGATATAGCTCATTTTCCCCATTCAGTATTCTTGGATATAAATTGCATGTCTAATGGTTGGATATGCGGTTCGTCAATATTAAATCAAAGGATACTGCTAACGGCGGCGCATTGTGTGTACGCATGTAAAAGAGATTGGCAAATAGACGGGTATGCTGGCCATGAAAATCTGAATAAGGTATACGTTACTTTTCTATTCCAAATCACATTGCGTTAACAGCGGCAAGATATGAAAGTGACGTTAGAGAATTAACAGCATCAAATTTTTTTAAGAAAACTTTAAGAAGACATAGCAATAAAATAAAAGACCCAAAAGCTAGAGACCCATTAATAAATAGTTTGAAATTTGGTGCCTCATAATAAGATATTCTATAAT